CAAAAATCCCGAATGTGGACCGGAAACAGAAGGGTTTATTATTCCTTCCTGTGAAAGCTATATTTTTTTTCATTAAAATATTCGATCTTCTACAAATTTGACGGTAAAACTTGTTTTTTTTTTACCCATATGCGGTCCGAAAAAAACAATATCGAATGGTCAGTATTTTTTTAATGCGTTCACGTTTGCTACGTTCTTTTTTTTATCATATTTTTATAACTGAAATATGATATACTTCTAACAATAGCCTATTGTTTGATTATTTGTTTGTAATTAGTCACTAAGGGCGACCGCTATAAAAAGTTTACTAAAAAAAAAGCATTTGTTTTAGGTCTTCTCGTCATAACTAGTACACTAAATATTTATTTTGGATAATTTTTGATAGCTTGGATGTAAGAAATGTCTAAAACGTTAAAGTTTAAAATTCAAAATTCTTGTTTCTAGTTATTTCGAAAATGTTATTTATTGTGTTGTTATTTATTGTGTTGTTCTTTTTTTTTTTTTTTCTGATACTAACTTTTCTAATTTATTATCGTTATAATAGCTGTTATTCATTTTTTTTTTTTTTTTGAGATAAAACATCACCGTTTCTAACATCTTATGGTAAATAAATTGTTGTTGTATTATACAAATTTGATACTTTATACAAAAGACTAGAGGCTTTTCAGTTTTTGAGATAACCGTATAGTATATGTTATAACCCCATTCTAGATCTACCTTTAGACTAATTTCAGATCTTAAGCCCTAAAGCTACATCTAAAAAAGCGAAAAAAAAAGAGTTTTCACCATTTCTGGGGAAAAGGGTTTTGTTATTTGCTAACGTATATTGATGATACTACGACTAAAGAGTATTCCATACAAATTGGGAACTTGTACAACTATTTTAATTGATTTCAGGTACGATTTCTGATCTATGAATTCCCCACGTGAAGGAATCGGTTCAGTAGTTTAGAAGATACTGTGGGTTCAGACATACATAAAAATAAAGTAGTTCATTGTAGCTCCGAACCGAAGATATTTTAATCTATCGAAATTAGATTACCCATAAACATGTTAACTAAAAATCAGGTTGCCACCATTTATTGATGTGAGTTTTGTTTGTAACATTTTGTTTTGAAAGGATAACTGTATGTTTATTAATATTTATTAAAAGCCGTACGTTGGGTTCATTGCCTTCATTCATTCTGACAGAACGTGAAAGATAAATTAAGATTTATTATATAATGCCTTTGCCGTATTATATTCCTATTGTACTTGACTCATAAGTTTGTACTTACTTAAGTTGTTGTATATACTTTTTTTAAAGAACTATATTGCTTTTATTACCTCACGTCTTATCCGTATAATTTTCTATAAAGTTATTGCAATTGTTCACTTGACTTTAAACCAAACGTGCTCGAGTCGGAGGAATTTTCACTTCTGTACTATTTTATTACCTCGCCGATTTACATTTTAAAATTATTATTATACCTTGAGTTTGTCAGACCTTATACCAACGTATTGTTGTATACAATTTTGTATAAGTATTCAATATAAAGGATATTTTATGAGCCACCCATTTTTTTTCTAGGAAATAATTGTTTTAGCAAAAACGTTTCATGTACCTATTTTTAAACTTTTTCTTTGATGATTTTTTTTACATTTCGAGATATTATATAATATTGTTGTTTTCTTGTCTATATTAGTAGGTCAGTTAACGGTATAAAAGTTAGAACATACAGCGTGGCAAACATATAATTATTTTGAAACAATTTTTCTGAAAAACTATGTCAACGATTTTTCTTTTTAGTAAAATTGAGTCATTGTGTTAATGAATGTGTTGGTTCGTTAAAAATACATTAAATGTGCGTATTATTTTTATGCATTTATGCACCAATAGGTATGCATGCAATTAGCCAGGGCTCGGAACTTTATGCGCTAAAATACAAAGAAATATGTGAAATATGTATAAAAAACGTAAATATGCAATTATTTTTTTTTTTATAAAATATGCATTCATATTCATAAGTCTTGAAAATTTCTAATTATTCCAAAATTGTAACTCGTAAAAATATGTGCGATATTTTTATTATTAAAAAAAATATTTTATCTTTTAATTAAAGTTAAATATCATAACTACTTAAATATAATAAAAAATAATAAATATAACAACGCGTTGTTTAATTATTTATTAATAAAAATAAATAATTCATTTTCTATAATTTATAATTTCCTTTGTAGATTTTGATACAATAATTGTCGAGTCATAAAAATAAAATTACCGTATCCTATACAGTAAATAGGTACTGTATCATGTTATTATTTTTATAAGAATTACACTGAATGATGAGATGTTTTTTTTCAAATTGAATCAAACGCTCCTATAGTATAGTATTCATATTATAATAAATATTAGATAAAACCTGGCCGATCATTACAACCAATTCTTGGTAAAAAACGATGGGGTGGCGTGCAATTGCAACAACTAAAGTGACAGCTCTTGTTAAAAATAAATCTTTTATCGTGAAAAAATATTAAAGAAGACGGGTCCCGTTCGTTACAATCAATACTAGTAGGATAATCAAAACATTGACGACGCGACGGTTCTTTGTTTTTTAATTCGATTATTTTTTATTGAAAATTTGTTTTGTTTGACATTTCTAAGCAAGATAATATGCATTAATATACATAAAATCTTTAAATATGCAAAATCAAATAAATTTGGTTAAATATACACAAATATACAATATTTTTTATTTTTTTTATTCGAGCTTCGTGTATTATAAAATAAAATTGTGTCAAATCAGATTTCGAACCGCTTTCTATGAAACATGCAAATGCATAAAGTTCCAAGCCCTGTCAATTGCTCTTCCAGTATGCAAATATAATTTGGTGTATAAATTCGGTGAGCTATGATTCGCTGACATTTCGAACCACGTGGATACAGTATGTTGAAACATGCAAATGCATATAACTCCGGTCTCTATTAGAATAGTATTATTTTGTTCTTGGAACAATCTCATGAACTCGATTTTCCGGAAGAATCTTTTAAATAACTGTCTAAAATAGTTCCTAAATCAGTAATAAATGCATGTGCCAAATCGAAGTTTATTATAATTATTTTTGGCATGTCTCAAAAATTATTCGTTTAAGGTGTATTAACGGAAATGTTAACGAAAATCAGAATCATTAATATACCTACTTTAGTAAAAAAAAGGTGAAAATATCAATTAATAGCTATTTTCTAACACTCCTGGCTCGTCCCAAGGTCTATATGACTGACCCTTTCAAGGCCAATCCTGACATAGTGATAGGTCACTTTGAAAAAAGTGACATTGAAATAATATGGCAGCATTGTCTGTTAAAGGATGAATTTTTGTAGAAATACCATTCGATTAACCGCAAACTATGGAAATCATATTTAAGGTGTGTCCCAATATTGATTGACAAGTATAAGATACATTGTTATCAAAAATAATATGTATTCAATTATTTATTTAATTAGGAAAAAACCAAAAAAAAATAGTTCAATTTGGTATTAAAATAAATTCAATAATACAAAAATAACCATTATTGCATTACCTTTTTATACATTTAATAACGATTGAATTGACAATTTACCAATAGTTAATTTTTCAATTAATAAATGATTATGTGAAATAATAGGTATGTTTTTCATAAATTTTCAACGGTGACTTTTTTATTTTTTTATTTGGTATATACAATCTATAGTACAACTACAAGGTATAATGAGTATATATGATAATTATGATTATAATAACGTGTTTGGTTCAGTATTTTTATAAGGTTTCCTGGCATGTTAGATAACGCTAGGTTCTTAGCCAGAATGTTAGGATGATTGGATAGGGAATTCCGGTACCTGGTATACAGTGACTTAAACATTTAATTTTTCCGTGCTCTGAAACTAATATATGTAAAAATTATAAGGTAACTGAAATTTGGATTAGTTTGGTCATGTTTGCTCTAGGAGATGTGTTTAGGTTCGATGAGACATCTGAGAGATTATTGATTTTAAAATGTATTTCTCTTCCAAATACCATAATAATTTAATAAATCGTAACTAAAAGTTAAAGTTTCAAGAATACAATTCCACCAAAGTAGCATGCATAAATTAAAATATAACATTAAAACAACAATTCAAGTTGCAACGTCATAAATCAGTCGTATAATAATTAGGGTTAATATTAATTATTGTGGTAGGTTTTGTTATGACCAAATGTGTAATTCAACCGACTCGTTCCGAATTACAGCGACCGTAAATTTTAACGGCGTGTAAAGTAAAATAAATTATGAAAGTATAATTTAAGGTATTAGTTGCAGTTAAAAAAAAAAAACTTTGAAATGGTCATTTGTATTATATGTTTTTATCCCGTATAATCCTTACTGCATATCGTGCATACGAGCGGTACCGTCTACATTTTACTGATGTTTTTTCCCATAAAGACTATTCGAAAAAGGTATTTGTACTGCATTCGAATTGCGCATGATAACTAATTAGTGCAATGATCATTTTAGTTTAGTTATGAGTGCAGCAACTCGAGATAATAGGTATATAAATCAAAAGCTAATAAAATTTACAGCGGAATTCCAGCAGAAGCAGTTTACAAAACGTCTGTTTTAACATAGATTATAATAATATTATTTAAGTTCAGAGAACACAATTATAGGACAAGTAATTTACCAAATACGTCAACTTGCGGTTAATGTTAAACAGACTGTTAGTGTTATTTTGTTTATCTTTAACGCCAATCTGAGAGGTATTTTATGGTATAATTTAATTTTTTTACTTGCATGCTATTATAGTACTATATACTTTACGTATTTTTAAAAACAAAATTTTCAACTTTATATCACTTGAATTGTATCGAAACGTCTAGTTTATAAATAAATTCGCAACTTGCCTATTTAAAATACTATTTAATAGTAAACATTCGTCCTGAACAGCATTAAAACTAAATAGCGTTGGCATTTTATAAATGTATTACCACTACTGTGCTTACCAGTCGTGAGTACATTGGTTGCTGGCTGAAATGTGTGTTACTATGCTAAAACGGCTGCGATAACAACCGTCTCAGACTTCAGTTGTTTTTCAGCTTTTCACGAGCAAACGACATTTTTGTTGGAAATACAGTTTTTGCGTTTCAAGTATTATATCTAATATTCTGAAATATGTGCTCTATGGAGAAGATTTTGTGGGCCGGCGGCGCCGTTCTAACGGTAACTGGCGGCGGTTACCTGCTCTATAAGGTACGCGTATGAACATACATATTGTTTGATGACATGTTCAACGACACACCTTCGACCAGGGCTCGCTGTTTTGTCAGTGTCAGCACAATAGTTATTAGTTTAAATAAAAATTGTTCTCGTGTTCAAGGCCAAAAAGAAATGGTGGGACGCGGCACCGGTAGAACCCGCATCGGTAGAACTTGCACCGGTAGAACTTACACCGGCTGAACTTGCACCGGCTGAACCCGCACCGGTAGAACTTCCATCGGCTGAACCCGCACCGGTAGAACTTGCACCGGCTGAATCCGCACCGGTAGAACCCGCATCGGTAGAACTTGCAACGGCTGAACCCTCACCGGTACAACTTACACCTGTAGAGCCTGCACCGGTAGAACTTGCACCGGTAGAACCCGCATCGGTAGAACTTGAACCTGTAGAACCCGCTCCGGTAGAACTTGCACCGGTAGAACCCGCTCCGGTAGAACTTGCACCGGTAGTACCTGCGTGTTACTACCACGACAGATACGGGTCGGCGGCGCACAGATGTCGTCCTCCGTGCGGCTACAGGCCAACTGAGGCAGGACAGCCGGAGCCACCGTGTGTGTACCACAGGCGACACGGCGCGGATGCAGTAAACTGCATACTGCCGTGTGGATTTGCAGGAGTGCAGGAGTACGGCATAGGGGAGCCCGTACCATACTGCATATACCATCGACGGTTCGGTCCGGAGGCGGTGAACTGCCGAGCCCCGTGTGGCTTTAGGGCCATACACTGAGGTAACACATTCATTAGTTTCCACAAAAAGCAACATACTGCAACGCGTTGATAATATTTCTTTGTCAGTCTCCTTTTTTTTTCTCTCTGTTAATATTGAACCCAGGTATATTTAACTTGTTTGACTCTACTGAACTCATATCTACAGACTTTCAGGTGTGGAAAAACGGCCGTACTATCATGTTGGAGACCACTACAATTATTAGTTGTCTACGGCCGCCGTGTTTGAACCCATCACGTGGTTTTTTCTCTCTATCTATTCAAGCTGTCATCCCTGTGGTCGCATTCATTTTGTTGGCCGCCGTCTCAGCCATCCTCGCCGTGGTTGGCCGTCGACTAAGTTTTGTAAATTATTATTAGTTATTTAGAAAAATTGTCCTGTTTATTCCCTTTCTCATGAAAACCTTAGTGATACTAATACACTTAATTAATGATCACCTAATAAATATGTACTGTGTTAATACGGATGTTGTTGTTTAATATGTTAGGGAACTCGGGGCAATTGCCCTGGTGTCGAAACACTTAAGCTAAAATATTATGTACTTACTCGAAATAAGTTTATCGACACAAGGGCTTTAAAAACCAAATCGCTATTTTACTACTTTATCTATTTTACTAGAGCTTCGCTCTAGCTGGGGGCTCCGCCCCCAGGACCCCGAGTCGGGCGGGTAGGTCACAGATTCCTGGTACTGTACCCGGCTACGCCGGGCACGCTCACGTCCCCTCGCTGCAAAGTATTTTCGGGGAGGTCACAGATTCCACGGTATGTGGAAGTCAGTGCACAGCGGTTCCTAGGGGGTGCCCGGCTGCGCCGGCCACGGTGTCGAGCCATCGCAATACGTCTTAAAGGAATGACGTTATAATTCATGGTACCTATAGGCTGTATGTAGTAATCAGAATTCATACCTAGTTATGGACAAATATTTGCAAGCTAAGTACTGATTAAGTGTAGAGTAAGTCTAGCTATGTATCTGTAATTTTTTTAAATTTTAAATTGAAAAGAATAGTCTAGAAGTTAGACGGTTAATAAATATCAAGTGTCCGGTGTTGCTTACTTGGGTTGCTACCACTTTTACGAACTAACAATGTCCAGTTCCTTATCAGCGGGCGGAATTCGTATTGAAAACTGATAAGGACGGCAGGTCTCCGAGTGTTTTGGCATTCACTCGCTCCGCCAACTAAAAATATCCTAGGTTTGTAGGCTACAGTCTATGAGGAGGTAACAGGTTTAAAATTAAGTTTAAATTAAAATTTTAAAAAGTTAAACAGGCTTGATAAGAAGCTGGCCATTGGGAAAAAGTGTACAATGGAAATTGTCTTTGGTAAAAGTTGTTATATTATAGACCACGTCATCAATATAGGCCGGCGTCATCCCGCTTAATTTTATGAGTTGAAAACAGATAAAAATGTCTAGAGGACAGTCAGCTAAATGTCTGTTAAGATTTACCTTTGTGAAACAAAATTTGTTTAAACGTAGTATGTTATATGTCTGTACACAGCAGTTCCGAGGGGGGTGCCCGGCCACGGTGTCGAGTCAGCTCACTACGTTTTAAAGTATACCGTTATAATTCATCGTACCTTTATCTAGTAATCATAGTTCATACTTAGTTTCAAAAAAGTGTTTTGCAAGCTAAGTACCGGTTAACTGTAGTGCAAGTCTAGCTATCTGTCAGATCAGAAACGTCCTACTACTAAAGCGAGTGTGCTACTTGCTTAAAGGACAATTTTTTTTTTTTTTTTAATTTGAATTGTTTGAGGTGTTGTTTACTTCACGGGCTTGGTAATAGCTATGGTTAAAAATAGAAAGAAATGTTTAGAGGTCAGTCTGTATATGTCTGATATGGTGTTCCTATGTGCAACAAAACTTTTTCAAACGTATACGTTATATGTCTAGATATTGGTTGAATTAAAATTCTTATTTGTTCAGAAATCACCGTCTATGCCATTATTCGGTAATGACGTACTGTACGTTTAGAATGTAACCAACAGCATAATGCATTAAATATGTATATTAAAGGTCTGGTGGTTTAACAGAAGTTCAAAAGTGTTTAAGAATTCAAGAGTAAATCACATGAATGAAATGTCTAGAGTTTATATTAAAACTTAAAAGGGAAAGAAGTGAAGAGTGATAAATACATTATTTTGATTTTTGATCGACTATTTGGCAGAGCTTATAAAAATGTCCAAAGAGAGGTTAAATGAAATGTCTCGATGCAAATCTTTTAGTTTTTGGATCTGGACCTTTAATGCTAAAGGTACTTTGATACTTAAGGTCTGACGTTTGTTGGTTATTAGAAGTTTAAAAGTGTGGAAGAATGATATGTTTGTGTGACGGTTACTTAGGAACTCAAGAGTAGAAAACATGAATGAAATGTCTGAAATAATTTGTAGCAAATATTTTTGACTATTCGAGTGTCCGGCGGTGATTATAAAAACGGTCAGAGTACAAAATGATAATAATAATAATATTCAGTGCATAAAATACCCAAATTATTTGATACTTATCCAGACATATTTTATACATAATAGATAAATTGATATATACATTAATACTTTTTTAAGTAAACCATGAAAGGTATAAATCCATAAGTTGATATATGTTTAGATGGCTAACCAACAATTCATCCTACTAAATGATAATAATCAAAAATTTTAAAATAATTTTATTTTTCATTATGTAGTATCAATTTAAAAAAATATAGCAAAATCTATAGATTTACTATACTTTTTTAGGGTGGAGCGAATACTTATATTATACTTCTATAAATAATAAAATAGTAAATTAAATGTTGATTTTCAATATAAATTTTAACCCTTTGAAGCACAGCATTTTTTTCTCCGACTTTCTCTGAAAATGATTATGAAGGTGGTAATAAATATATACCACTGTGCGAGAGTAGGCTATTTTTCTTTGCGTTTATTGAATTTGGGCAAAACGGCCGTCTGTAGAATGGAAACATAAAAACTTGTATACTTGACGGTTTTAAAGTGGCAATTTTTTCTTCTCCAACTCGAATGTATTGTATCCGAAAACCATAAGTAGGTACACACATAACAACACTGTTAAACGTACATGTATGGCACTTTACATTTGTAGTGTACATTATGTATTTGTGCAAGGTAAATCGTTAAGTAACACGGTGGAGCCGTTCCGTCAAAAAATTGGTTCGACAAGTGATTTCTGTTTTTTTAAGATTCAATGCGTATGTGGGAAGAAAATGTAATTTTTTTTTTGTCATTTTTCGTTTTTCCAAGTAGTTTTTGTCATATGTTTGGTTCGGAAATCGTACTTATAAGGTTGTGTATTGATTTAATTCAGTAATTTGAGTTGTGTTTTATTTTAATGGTGATCTGTTGATGCACAACGATACTACTAAAATAATTTTCATTTCACGGTGTTAATTTTAAAAAAAATTGCGTGAATTTTTGTTTTTATATTCATAAACATAGAAATAAAAGTGGAAAGTTAGTATAAATGGTGTCTGGGATTTTAAGTTGGGTTATGTCGGTATGGCTGCGACAGTGAATTATAATAATATGCAATAACTGTGAGTATTTCTCCACATGTAGTGCATAGTTCAGGCTCCTTCAGTTTCATGAGATGTTCGTGGGAAAGTCTGGTGAGAACTATTTGTTGTCAGTTTATTGTATCATCCTTGTCTTCTAGTATTTGAGATTCATCCCATTTGTCAATATTGGTTTTGACCACTCGAAGTTGACTCTTTCTTACAATGCAGGCTGCAGCCACAATAGATAAATCCCATTTCTATACGGTGTTTGGTAAATAATAATTGTTAGCGACACTACTCGTATGTTACCATTTAATGTTATTTATATTATTATTATCCTAATATATCACATGTACACCACGGGAGCAGTTTATTCAAACATAATTTCTATAAGTACAATTTTTTTTCATTTCCTACGGTCTAACAGCAATAATGAATCACTTGTTGAAAAAAATGTGGAACACAAGCGATTAAAAGGGAACTGCTCCAAGCGTGTTTACTATCCAAGAACCGAGCTCACGGTTTGTATGCGGGTGTGTATGTGTTTGTGTTTGCGATATTGTGATCCAATCGCCAAGGCTGGCAAACATCATTACTTGTTGTTTCAACGGTACGCACTTACAGTTAAAGTCGTGTAGTCGGTGGCGGCGTTCCATGAAATCGTCATGTATCGGCCGAAATGGCAGAAAAGAGGGGCGGCAGTGGGTTTGGAGGAGTAGATTACACTTTTACAAGGGAAGGCTGGAGACGGCTTGTCTCTGCGAGTGAAAGGGAAGTATGTATAATATATAGGCATAGACACATAAATCGACGATTAAGCAACGATCGCCGTCTTGTGCCCAGGAGCTATGCAAATGAGACGGTATATGCAAAACAGAAGCAGACAAACTATATAATATTATATAGTAACTATACACTATGCCGTAGAGAACTTACTGGCGTCCGTGCGCGCGCGACTTGAATGTTAATATAATAAGATGTCGACCTGGCTACCAAGCCGTATTTAGCACTACTACTACTACTACACAAACGGCGTACCTGTGCCACCACCGGCGCTGTTTGTGTATGATATCTAATGCGACGGAGTAACGTTTTCAAACCTCCCCCGTGTCTGTGTGTGTTTTTGGCGTTAATTATTGTAACCTGAGAGTTGTCACAGTCATCGCCACACCCCTATTGTGTGCGCCTCTCCCTGCGTTATTATCTTTGCCTTTTCCTTGGTGTTCCCTCCGTCGTCGTTCCGCCCGACCACGGCCGGAAGTAGAACGATTAACACATAGTTTACTATGAGCTTTCCATCCGGTCCGTGCTACGACAATAATGTGTACCCACTTCAGCCGCGCAACGTTTGCCACCGGTGTGCCGGAATTTCAAGCGTGCGTTTTATGGTTTTTGCGTTTACCGCATTCGCCCTCGCCTACCACACTCGTCACTTTTAAGTCATCAACGCTACGGGGCAACGGCTTCGTGCTGATCTGTGACATTTATAATACAGAAAGCGAGTCCAAACCTCATTATAATATAGCCAAAAGTTTATTGGAAATAGTTTGATATTAATTGCAGCCAGAGGTTGTTAATAGGTTAGTTTGTAGGGGAATGATATGGCTCTTTTTTTTCTCGAAAAATTCAAACGCAAGCTACTCGATAAGTGTATCAGTATGGAAATTTATTGATACATGGCTTGCTTTACCGAAAGTGGTACATTTGTGCCACCGTGGAAAATCGCCAGTCATTATGACGTTACTTTTGGCGTGTCTCAAAAATTGTCCATTTATTACATGCTAATGGAAATTCATGAATTTACACATTACCGTCCAAGTCTTAAATGGATTAATGATTTTCCAGCTGGCTAATTGTGATGAAAATTAAAAAAAAAAATAACTTTGCTTTCTGCTCAGTTCTTAGGGTTTATTTATTTTAACTGAAAGTGGTAAAATCACTCTAAAAAAAATTCTTTGTTGTGTATATTATACTTTACAAACTATTTATAACTTAAATCATTTACAATTCACTTTGGGGGCGTACGACCACAATGTGTGCTGAATACTAGCAGTCATAATACCTGTGTGTATTGTCATTCACTTGCCAAGTTTGCAAATGATGGAAATGTATACAAAACATATTGTTGGTTGACACGTGCACAAAGCCTTTGGTGACAATACAAGCCAATGTTCACAACAATTTATCACAGTAAAGCATGGACAAAAACTGCAGAATAAATAAAACTATAACTTGGATACTGCACTTTGTACTATTTGTGTAGGTTAAATAATTATTTTAAAACAAATTCTTTTTACATTTTAATATTAAATCGTCTTTTTTTTATGTTTAACTCTGTAAATGGTTTTTCTTTTTATACTTCTAACTATTTTACGTTTTCTTTCACTATACCAGTCGGGAGCAAATCATTTTTTATGTATACTTACTTCATATTTTTCTGATTAAAGTGAGTTTTTTCATTATTTTCAAACTGATATTTAATTTAATATGCATTATAAAAACCTAAAAAAGTAAATAATGTTTTCGTTATGTGAAACACAAACCGATTTTGGTTTGTATAGGTTAATTTAATTATGATTAAATTGACTTTTCATCCGCAATTGATTTTTGAATCACGGTTAAATTAATTATTTACTCAGAGTTGATTTTTTTAATCCGAATGTATGTGTTATATTAAAACAAGCATTGTTATCCATTCATTTTCCTGGAAAAATGTCGATTAGATAATTTATTTTTGAAAAATGTTTTATTGCCATATTTTTAATTTATTTCAAAAGTCGTTTAATCCTATTCTAGTCTAAACAAAATAAAACCGCTTCGAAATTGACTCTTGAAATATTATGACAACAGTTTTGAAAAAAAAATTAAATGTCGATTTGTAAAATAATTGTTTTAACAAATTATAAAGTGTCACATTTACTTAGAATATAGGATATATTGAATAACTATGTTAATTTAACTATTAATTCTAAAATGTTTTTTTATAATTCTTAATGTATACGTAGGTATAGGTCAATGCATAATTAAGATGATTTTTCAATCACATTTTACATAATTTTATTATTAGTAATAATAATGCCCGTTCGTGTAAAGGAGCTGAAATAAAAGAAAAACTATTTTTTACATTTCTTTGTGGAAATAATTTATTTACAATAATGCATAAAATCAACTCGGCGAAAATGTTCAACAAAACGTATACTAAATCGATGTTTTAAATTACAAATTAACTCAGTATTTTTACATTAAACAATTACAATTATAATAAATTTTACACACAAACGCATAAATATATCATTTTAACAATTCTAATTCATGATAATATAACATATGATACAATTTATGGTCAAATATTTAAACAGATTAAAAAGTCGTTGAAATTAGTTTGAATCAAATTGCTACCAGGTATTTTTTTAACATTGAGTAAAGCAAATGCACATTTTTTCCGCTTAATAAATTATTTCTAGTTTACTTTAACTCAATCAAATGTATTGATTAGTGATTTAGTCAAGAGCCAAATTTTTTTCCAATGTATTTTTAGTTTGGGCGTTTTTTTTTAATTACTCAAATCTGTTTATCCATCTGTTAATTTCTCATACATTTTCCATTAGGCCAACATAATAGTATTATTATGTAGTTAAAGCATGTCATATTTTTAACAGAAAAACTTCGGGTATCAGAAGATGGAAATTTAATCTTTTAAACGGGCGTATAAAGTAACTGAGATAAGTTATTTTGTAGTTTAAATTTAACATAAATATAATAGGTAGTATTTAACAATGAATGGCATCACTTGTTTCCCAATTAAAGCCTTCTGATATTCATTAAATATCATCAAGCGCAATAACGATTATATGTTTAAAATCCAATATTAAAGTTTTAAATATGTTTATAGTAAAAAAAGGGTTTATTAAACATTTTTAAGATATTTTCGAAGTGTTAATTTATTTGTTTCGCCTTCTGTGATATTTTATTTAATATTAATTATTTGCACTTCAGAATAAATTCCAATACACTTGTTATAATGTTGTACTTACAAATATAAATTGATTTCTAACACTTTCCGAAGTTACTATGACATTTCTATTTAACCCGATTCTATTTTAAACTGACAGAAATATTAGGGTGGAAAACCCAAACGGATTTTATACCAACAAGAGGTCTATTAGACTTTACGACTAAGCAATGACCGTGGCTTGGAATTCCCAAAGGGCAAATGTGTTTACCCATTTTTTATCCACACCAGACTAAGTACCCTTCTCATACCTTTTTGTCGACGGGCTCGGCTCTTCTGCTTTTCTATGTATGCGTATATAATATATATTATTTCTGTTAAATCGTAAATGGGTTATTTCGCCGAAAATGGTGCCTATTTGTGTTCCCGTGGCAAATTGTGAGAGATTATCATAATTTCAAGCATATCTCAATAATTGCCCATTTATGGTGCATTCTTGTCAATCAGAAACATTGATATTGTTCAATATCAAAGGTAAAAAAAATCAATTATTAGCCATTTCCTCGTACCTCTGGCTTGTTGCAGAAATACCATTTGATCAACAGTAAACTATGGGCTAACATCTCGAGTTTATCCCGACTTTGGTACTTGGCACTTGCCTGTTGTGTTAAGAATTTGTTCATTAGAATACGACGTTATATGACAGTAAATGCGTATCGTTAAAATTCAATTTTTTTTATCCCTAAAACCACCATGATAACCAGTTTTCATCGAAATCTTCAGACCTCTAGGTGTCACTCCCTTGGAGTTGGAAAATGGGGTTTCTAAAAAACGTTTCTATAACGACTGAATAAAGTTCAAAGTTTTTTTTTGTAAAATTTCAGTACTGACAGCGGCCACTTTTTGCGAAACGATCCACACATTGATAGATAGAGCTGTCCCAGAAGTGATTGTATCTGCGACAAATATACATTTGTAAACATTTAGTTAAGCTCATTCGAATTGTATCAGTGTACGCGCTTTAAAAAATGAATTTCATTGGTAAAAAAAAAAATAAACAAGATTTCGATAACCTTTAAATACAAATCCCCGAAGACTTTCTGGTACAACGCTGACGTGTTGTACAGTAATAACAAATGTACAAATGTACAATGTATATACAATATAATAATTATTAAGTACACGGTTTATATAAATCATTGGATCAATGAATATTACATTTATTATCATTTGATTAGAGTCTGATTACTGCAGTTGTTTTTGTTGAGTTCGTTACCTCAAAACCGCGAGCACGATCAATGTCAATACCATTGATTGGAATGAATACGCTTCTTTTAAACCTGAAACATCATAAAATCACATTTGTTTTAATATCGACGATCAAATCTACTGGAGAGAGTCAAAACATATTTTTTTTTCAATTTGATTTAATATTTTAAAATATTAGACTCTGAAATCTAGTATTTTTAACACCAATAGTTATAATATTTATTTTTGGTAACAATAACTCGTTGAGTTACTTTATTCGCTACTCTTCGGGTACAAAATAATTTATATAAATTTAATATTTATAGATGAAACACAATCTTGAATAATTTATGCATTTCATAAACAATAAATGAGAAAGAAGGAGGATAGAGAAAGTTAACTGTTGCCCAAATGTGTCAGACTCGATAGTTTTTTTCGGCCAACTTCACTTTATAATATTACAGCTCATATCACTCTAAATTTAGTGTGCCAGATTATTATAATATCATGTTGTTAACAAAATATATAATATTATAAAATATCAATAGGTATATGTATTTTACAAGCAGTGAAAAGCCGTATTATGGTGTATTAAAAATACATAAATTCAGAGAGAAAAACTTCATCATAATATAAAATAAATGGTGGAATTGTTGTTTTGCGGTTTTTAAATTAAACATTATTTTATTAATGGAGTTGATGGAAAATCAATGTTATTTTCCCCATAGAATATGTACTTTGTGTGCAAGTATATCTTTAGTACACGCTTCGTAATGGTAATTTTCTCGAAACGAGTTACCCTTTTTTTATATTTGATTGCTTAACAAGTATCGGATACTTTTGGACAAAGTGTTTAACCCTTGAGAAGTCACTGAGAAACTAGACGACGGTCTCGGATAGTGTGTGTGAGCCTTTGAAGTAAACCCAGCCCCGTAAAGCATTTTGACCTCGAGTGGGACGATGACATTTTATTGTATAGCTTGTCATTAAATAAGTTGGTTTCGTGGTATGAAACTCTGACTCGTATCAGTTTTTAAGAAAAAATATTTTTTTTTTCTTTTCTTTTCGACGTAAAGAGAAAAATTGAACCAACGAAAAAGAAAGATGGAGAAAGCTTAAATAGCAATATTGAAGATCCGTTTATGTGTCATCTATAAACCTATTCCGTAACGTTTCATAACTGCTGATCTGACCTACGAGTATTATATTTAAAAATGAAAATAAACTAAAATGGCCCCCTCAAATATCCTGTGCATAACACGGCGTGTAGGGTATGCAATATTGATGCATTCCAGAGTTGTATAATCAAAACTGTATTTTTTAACCGTGTTATTTTGCTTGTTCAATTTCGTCACGACAACAAAATACGTTTTTCTTTCTAGAATATGAAATTATTTTATATAATTTGTAATGATATAGACCCAAAGGGAAACCTGTATTAATCCTTTTTTTTTTGTAGTGCAAACAATCTTCCAAAAGTCATTGTGTATGCACAGTTTGTAGTATTTTTCACATATAAATAAGGTTAAAAAATTGCAATATTCTTACAAGCCTGGTCGTTTAGTATAATAGCATATAATACGAATAAACTAACAAAACCAAAACCTATAGAGTGTTGTAAATTTCACTTAAACTTGAAATTTGACGATGACTTTTTGAGAAGAACATCACTAGAGCCCCGCTCCATATCCATCGAAGCTAAGAAAAGTTTTACTATTAATACCTATAATTATTCACTATCATTATAATAGTAATTTATAATGATAATCAAAACAAGTTATTAGTTATCAGTGCTCATCAGTACACTGCATATTTTAGCTTCGACCGACGACGGGGTCCATCCCTATCATGTCGATATTTGATTTCCCGTGGGAACGCACGGCTGTCCCGACGTTTTTCCGGGAAATGTTCGTTGTATCCGGGTTAGTGCCCTCGCCGAGAAGTAATATTATCGTTATCGTCATGACCATTGCCATACTTTCCCCTGTTTTCTTTGTGTTTTATTCTATCGATGGCGCAACAGTTAAAAAACCGTTCTGTACCTCGCAGTCATAATGTGTCCCGTACCATATACCCACATACCATATTATGATACATTATTAAGTTAAAATTTAACGTTTACACAATGAATGAACTCAGTTAATTTTAGGAATAACTAATTTTGATGCCGACATACTATTTCAATTGACCTATCACAATGTCATGAGCGGCGTTGAAAGGGTTAACTTTTGAAAAGCCAGAGGTGTGAAGAAATGAAAATTCATCGATTTTTTTACCTTTGTCACTAAAGTATCTTAATGATTTCGATTGATATATTTAGTTGACCCGAATACACCCAGGCTGGATAATTTTTGAAACGTGCCAAAAATAATGATAATACCACTCAGGGACGGAAATGCACCATTATCGGTGAAACGACCCTTATATAATATTCTATGTTATTATATCTCAATAGGTAATATACATTTGGGAACTTCCTTTTCGGTTGCTATTATACACCGACCGGACCCCGGACCGTGTGTCCTGCGTTTAAAAAGTCTGTTTGCGTAAAGATCGAAGATACCCCGCATTTCTCTATTGTCCGCCATAACTACCACAGCACAACAATGACTTTTCAAACCCAATACACACACCTACAAAACCGTACCGAATTGATTGTATTTTTGTCAAACGTTACAGCCCATTGCCCCGACAACAATATTGCTCGAATATGGCCTATACCATGGCGGCGACCTCTATTATTTTAATGTCCACTGTTAAACTGATGATATAGAATATATAAACGGTACAAATCTGGTTTCACTCGCTTTCCTATATTGAACGGTTAGGTAGAAAATAAACTAAATATTTTTTTTAAAAAAATGATAATGTAATAAATATTAATAAAAATAAAATAATTGCATAACAATATTTTGCATCGATTATTCAAGCTCTCTCACACTCTCTCTCTTTATCTATTTCTTTATTAGTGATTTTTAAACGTCCGATTTATTTGTTTTTATATTTATTTATTTTAACAAAAATTATGATCAAAGTAACCTATTTGATAAGTTTAAAATAATTTTAAAAAATACAAAGGTTTTTTAAAACGACGACAATAAACTTTTTAACATTTAAAAGATAGTTTTTTGTAGGCAAAATAATTGTATAACTTTACAGAATTAAAATTTCGACTACTTAGGATAGTCCGCTATCCTAAGTAGTCGAAATGTTGTCAGGCATTTTGGTCTAAAACTTAAAAAAACACACCAGTTCCAATCCCCTAAAGCGTATTGAATTTGAAAATAGCGAAAATATTATTGTAAATTAAATTAATTGTATATTCAATTTTTTCGAGTCGGCGGTACAAGTTTTTGCTTCAATATTATTCATTGTTTAATATACACTTAAGATGAATTTTACAATACCCTATCAATAGGATATTGAGTAGTTTTTAACATCCACAATTTCACATCGAAGCGTTAATTTCAAAAGTGATTCAATCTCTTTCAGTTATGCTAATATTCCTAAGTACTTGTGGCCTCTCTGACACATGCCACTATATGCTTGCTTCTTTTTTTTTAGTCATTAATTATTCATGTTAATCGTTTTATTATACCAATAGATACCTTTTTTTTTAGTATATTACTCATACTTTTGTTTAAATCTCAATCCCGTAACGAGTCAACCGTCAAAGAGTAGGTGACACTTTAGACGGGTGTGTGTTATTTAATAATATAAATTAGTTATGCGTTTTGCCGGGTCAACGACAAATCCATTTGCCTAGGACTTACCTGAAGAATGGCCGTGGGGTTGCAGAATAGAAGCCAGTCTGGGTTTGTCTTCGTCCAACATCACTTGAGTTTCGGACCCTATTACACGGTAAATATCACTTTGACAACGCACTTTAATTTTGCCCGAGGACAAAACGTCGTATTCAATCGACGACACGCTCTTGTACAACGGTGTTGAAGATCGAACAGTCGGTATCCTGTACACCTTACCGTTGCCCATCTGAAATAGACAACAAAAAACATGTAGGCGTCGACAATGCGACAGTACGGTCCAAAAATGTATGATCATTTACAATTTTTTATGGCCTTATTTCTATGAAAAAAAAAATTCAATCATTCCCACGAAGGAAAGACATCGGATTGGAACATAATCTACCGATTTACTGTCTCATTTTTCTATCATTTGTGTCTTATCAGTTGAACTGGAATTATCTTTTTTCCACTAGCGCTATTTAACATCAAAGGGTAAACCAGCTAAATTAAAAAAAAATTAATTTTTCAGCCCGTCCCATCATTTATTCAACTGTTCATCTATGGTGATGAAATAATTTTTAACTAAAGCTCGAATCATTGAAGCATGAAAATGTTACTAGCAGCTGGTTCTCTTGTCTGTCGAATTTATTCACGGTTAGGTTATTATCATATTCGGGAATTATCCATTTCCATCTCCACTTCATCCACACTTATCTATTTCCCTAATCTTTGTGTACAAAAGCGTTAAGTGAATTTTCGACAGACTCCCAGTCGACATATTCGTATTCAAATTGTAATCGACAATTGAGGAATATTTAGAAATTAATTATGTCCGACAAAAGATTGAAACAAATCACAAACATAAAATACAGCTATATATATGAAGAGTGAAAGTATCAAAAGTTCCAAGTGCCAAAGTATAAAAATTTAACTTTATAATTTGATTTTATTCATTACCGGAAACACTTTAACATATTTTTGAGTTTTAAATATGATTGTTTTTTTTATAAATAATTATTCTTTACTTGAAAAATGTACAAAATTGTTTCCGGTAATGAATAAAATACAAATCAAATTATAAAGTACAATTTTTATACTTTGGCACTTGTAACGTTTGAAACTTTCACTCTTCATATACTGATGGCGGGGCAAACTTGTTTGTAGGTATTCGCCTTTATTTCATTGGCATCCTAAGATGTTAATTATATGTTTTATATTTTACCTAACTGGTTCCTTAAAAATAAACACTAGTTTTGGTCAGAGTTGTGCAGTATCCAAATAAAACGTTATCTAAATAATCATCTAGAAAACATTGAAATTCAAATTATTCGAATATCGTATCATTCAAACAATTTACAACTGCGGTTTTCAAGTAATTATCATTGTTTAACATTATTTCGTATACTACACACATATATATGTATACGTTTTATTCGAATTCAAATTCGCACAACTTTGATCCTAGTGTAGGACCACGTTTGAATTATGAATATCGATTCAAAGGAGACCATGACAAACGGGCAGGATAAAAGCTGATGACTAAATTATATTATATATTAAGCACAGTACAGTATTATAATCTTGTTAAACGCTATGGTCTTTGGGATCATAGCAATTTGATTATCTTATTACAACGCAATGAAATGGTGAAACATCGTGGTCGAGTGGGTAAGGAGAGACAGGTGCTCGACGGTTGTTCATTTCTCCAAACAGACTAGATATTCTGAACCGAAGGAGATAGCAAACCTTTCGACGGGTCTCAACATTTGTTTGGTCAGCGTTTTGCCGTTGGTTGTTCAGGGAAAATGTATACTAACAGAAACTCGAATTCTGTGTAGAGAACAAAGATTTGTTTACTCGCCCCAAACAAGGACAATACAGCAACAACAAATACAATATAAATACAAACTTATCATACGATTCATTTGAATAATACGATCGAGCATAAAAGTATACAAATTTCATTTTAGCAATCGAAATAAAAGAAAAACTAAAAATACTGCTCTAAGACTGTATCTGCTAGTTTTAAATTTGTATTCGGACTATTCGGTGTAGTTTTTGTGGGTGCTACACTATTGGTCAGCTATTAACCGTTCAACTCTGTATGTAATGATCGTGTAAACTATCGTCATAAATCGCAAGGAGATTATAGAACAGAAATAATCACCATTCAGGAGCCAGCAGCCTAAAGCATGTTCCTTGTTTTATAATTTTAGCCGTTAGGCTTTAAGTAGACTGTAACTTTTATTGATAATACGACCTCCGAGTTATTTAAGAAGTCCGTTGAAATTAAGTTGCCGCTTTTGTACTACAAAATATTATTAAATAACCTTTGTAAAACATAAATGGTTATTTATTTTCACTGAAGTCTGAAAATAATAATTATCGCAATGAGTAAGTTTTAAACTGTTTCGCGTCCGACCAGCGACAGATTTAATACATTTCGGTATTATTTTATAAAAGTAAATGAGACGGAGGTGAAAAGCATCCAATTTACATAAACATAATACGTTTTAATTAAAATACCATTCTTTTGTTGTATGTCACAAGGCCGAGAAAACAATTAACGGGTAGAGACAAGTCCTTATTTTGTTAATTAATTAACCGATCCGAGAAGTTTGCAATGTTTATATATACAAACATGACCTTATGTATATATTGTTGTTTTAAGATAGGGTTAAAAAGAAGGAGGGTTAGGTAGCCACAGTATAAAAAGACGCCCGCTAACCGGACAGGCAAAGGGGAAGCAAATATTAAAACGAGCTTGAGATAAGACTCTTATATATTATTGTTTAATTACTGGGCATTATAATAAAGCGACCGAGAGAAAGTTTATAAAAGGAAACATTCTTTTTTAGCTTCAATGCAGAGCTGAGAAAGTATTACAGTAATGTGTTTTTTTTTTTGTTTCTGGACCCACGATATCTTTTAAACATTGGATACTTTTTAGGAAAAAACATTTTTAAAAGCTAACCCCTTTCCCTAAAAAAAACCCCCTCAAAAATGTACATATCAATTCCAAATTAATATGGAATATTCTTAACACATAGTTTTATTTTATATAAACTCTGACAAACCAAAAATATGATATCACAAACTCTTTGCCCCAGAAGGGGTGAAGGTAGAAACTTATTCTTAATTTCTTGTTTTTTGAGTAAATATTTGTTTACGAGTAGAGTATTTAAATAAATCGTCTATTTTCTAAAAATGATTAAACATAACAATTATATTCAATATTATATTAATTATTTAATATTAAATGATATTTCATTATCTCTTGTGCTGTGTTAAAAATAGAAATCGTCTTTAAATCTCAACTCACAAGGGAATCGGAAAATATTGATAAATAATTATATTATTGACAAATGATAATATAATAATAGTGTTGACGAAACGAAAGTCAGTATTTAGCCCTGGTTGGCGTGTCGACAGTATCGGCCAGCCGATTAAAAATCTCAAGCTCATAAGGTTTTACACATAAGAGATGGAGAGATATTTTTAAAATATAATATATAACAATTTTGTGAACTATCAACTATAAAAATATAGAAACAAATATTTTCGAAAAGCTTAATAGCATATGTAAGATATTGAACGGGTCATAGTTAACCAATCATCCTGTACGGACTGTAACAGATAACGGATATGGTTCCCTAGGGCCTAGAGTAACATTTTCTCAGTCATTTTTATCACGGGTAGGTTTCCTCGTGTATTTTTTATTGGTCGTTTATTCCTCGGGTATTTTTTCCAGACGATTAACCCTTTAATACAATTAAATTAATTTTTTAACGCATGTTTGCCTTTACAATGATATTTATCGAAAATTTGATACTTTTACCATCTACAGATTCGCATCAAAGCGTTCATTTGAAAGTAATTTCATTACTTGCGGTTACATTAATTCCTGAAAACCTATGACCTCTTCGATCCACAATGTGCTTGGTTTATTATTCTTTTTTGCGATACTACCAGTGCACTATACAAATCATACATAACCTAACGATGGTAAAATCTTAGATTATATTCACCTCTTTATCGTTGATGAACCAAGTAATATTGGCTGGCGGATTCGACGGCGGCGATGAACAATTTGCTCGTAACTTTTCGCCGATTGTGTATTGCGATTTTTCCAGCTGTAATTCTGGTTTACCGTCAGTTGTTCCTAAAACGTAAAAATCAATGTAAGAAAGCTAATAATTTCTATATAATATGTAACATAATAATGTACATAAATATTTCTAGTAATAATGATTCAATGGTTATTAAGTAATAATAGTGGCGAAAAAAAGTTTTTGGAACCCCCCCCCCTTACTTAATAGTTCCGAAACTAAAAAAAAACTTCTTGTGTTTTATATTTTGCTTCTACCCATCTCGAATTTTAAAATGATTTACCGAGCACAAGTTAAATGCCAAACAAATAAAACAATTAGGTAATGTAATTGTTGCCGTTGTAAAGATATCGAATACACTGTCAATATTTATACATTTCTATTATATTGTGGAAATTTAAAATAATTAAAAATGTAAATAATATTTTTATATTAAAAATTAAAATACAACATTTAACGATGATGGTCATCGCGTTCATAAGCTTCGCTGAAATGAACTTCTATCAATTTTACTGTTACCTACATAGATAATAAAATATCGTGACTACACAAAAAACAAATCAGGAATTTTTTTTTTTTTTAATATGAATATGTTTTATGGCGAGGGGTCAGTGAGATCAAAATTCGTCCCATCGGGGTGACCTAGGCCAAGGTTTTGGCTGATGTGCCCATTCTTATCACACCTCCTTACCTGGTTATAAGGTAATGTTATAAACTATTGGGTTAATCGTGTAAAATGTTCAGGTAAGATTAGGAACGGGTGCCATAAAACGTATTCGTGATTGATATCGTCCTCGAAGAATAGGACTTTTTTTTTCATGACTTCGCGTGGGTAATTTCTAAAGGTTTTACTATATTATATATATATCATATTATTTTTATTGCGGTCACTCACGGACAACGTGCATCCACGCGGCTACGATTTCCGTATGGAACGTCGGCGCATCTGCGCTCACCTCGCACCTGTACTTGCCGTCCAGATCGGCGGTCACTTGCCTCAGAACCACTTGGTTGGCTCCGGATTCGCTGACCTGATGGTAAATAAAAATATTTAAAAGACATAATTATAGTAACTACTTCCGCATAAAGAGTATATGTTTTCAACGTGTGCGAATGGCAGACGGCCATTTTTTTTTTTTTAGTGTTATCGTAATCGGTCGTTCCGTTTGGTTACTTCCGAGAAAAAAAATAATTAAAAATAATACTAAAAAAATAGCTTTACGGACATAGTTATATTATAATATATATTTTAATTTGTTCGGGTACACTCACGTCCACGTTGATGGTGGCCAAGGGAAACACCCGAGTGTGAGGCAACTCTTTGGGCACGTAACGGAAAAACTCCTGTCGCCCTTTGTACCATTTGACCGTGTACAAAGTCTCCTGTTCCAAGTCGTATTCACAGCGCATAACGGCCGTGCTGCCTTCTTTGATGGCGATCGGCACTTCGATGAACACATCTTTCAGACAAGTCACCACGCCTGTAACAACAACACGGGCATAAAGACACGTTTTGTCACACAAATGGCATGGGAATGGTGATGGTGCAGCAGGATAGTGATAAATGTGGATGAATGAGGTAGGGATAAGGGGAAATAGATAATTCTGGGATAATTGTTTAGGGACATTGTCGATAAGAAATATCGTATGATGATTGATAAAAAGGACATGTTTTGCTCGAACAATTACAGAAACAATGTTTTGGAATTATGGGTTCTTTACTGTGCGCGCTTATCATTTAGATGAAACTAAAGCTATTATTTTTTACTACACATCCAAACGTCTATGAATAAATAAAACATAAACGTTATGCAATTCAATAAAAACGAGATATAAGCAATCCGCACTGCGTGTCGAGTTGAAGCTCCCGACGATCATCCTTAAATCCTAAGTCATTTGTTTATCTGGTAAAGTGTAACCGTTCGTACTACTTTTATTTTTGTGTTGACATTTATTTTATTTTTTGGGAAACGCTTAATGTCGCCACGGGATTTGTGTATGTATATTGTATATATAAAATAATATATGTGTATTATTCTGTATAGTGGATATACTGTGTCTGTATGTTAATTTATAAAAGCAATTGTATATTTATATGTTGTATTCGACCTAATCAATTACACTAAACCAAAGATCTTTTTATTTTAAATTAATTAAAAGTTTGAGGTAATACATTTTCAACAATAGAATTTTTTTTCTAAATAAGATATATTTCTTTTTTTTAAACAAAATATTGTCATTTGAGAAAACGAATTTAAAGGAGAATGAAAATATCCATATGTATACAAATATAAAGTGTACAATATAATATAATGGATAAACAACATGGTTAACTTAAGTTGTATTACGTTTCTGTGACATTAATTTGGTACGAAAAAATATATATTTTAGGACTTAAACGTTAGTAGCACGTATATAATATTTAATTGTATTTAAAATCGAAAAGTTCTAACCAAGATTGCCTAAGTATTATAAAGAGAACTTAAAGGTAACGTATGTAAAACTTATTTGTTTCATAAACAAAAATCTCTCCAACTCGTCTTTTATGAGTTAAGCTTACTTTATGTAAAAAAAGTTATTGTCAACAGAACTTAATAAAAACTCATTTGAACAATTATGAAATTTGCAGTTTGAATCGTTTATTTTATTTTACCAAAAACATTGTTTAATTCTTTTAAAATGGAAATTTCAAAATTGTCTTTTATTTAATTATCTTCTAAGTTCTACTCTACAACAAGCGTGTAGATGGTCCAAAGATACTTAAAATTATCATTTTTTTCTGTTTTTATTTTTGTTTTTGGGTGGGAGGATGCTCGGGTGACTAGCCTAACCGTCTGCGGTTAAGGTTGGCGTTAATTTGTTTTCGGTATCATCGAGCAGCATCCAACCACAATACATAATGAACGCTAATAATAACATGAGCACTAATTATTGCTCTACACTGCACATACTTACAACGCGGTATGATTGCTTGTGTGTTTTTTTATGATATTTAAAGCAAGCCAGATAAATAATGGGTGTTCTTTTTAAACAGGCATATTTTTTTTATGTTATTTTACAATGGCGTGCGTGGCGGTTGAAAAATATGCAAAAGGTCAAAGAAGGCACACACACATATTTTTTTTTGCATGTGTTCCGAGAGCGTTTACAAATATGCGATGACGGTACTCTAAGGGGTTTTTTTTTATCATTATTATTATTATTTTTTTTTTTTTTGGAACTTTGCCCGATTCTACGTACATCGGTTCCACCGTGCATGTACTTAAAGTTGCCAATTCGAGTAGATCCAAAAATGGAATCTAATATAACCTCTGCGCGGTTTTCCGTCGTTGTTTCGCACTACTTTAATTTTGTTTGTATTTATTTATTGCAGCCGTTCCACTTATTGTTATTGTTGTTTTATTTTTTCGGTTTACTTGGCAAACCCGACGCGGTAAAACAAGACGGATTTCAACTTTGGAGAAAACGGATTTCACAATTATTTAATGTTATATATGTATACAGTCGAGTTGTGGCGAATTCTTTGCTAAATCCAAAGGCGCCTGGCGACATTTCCACTACAAATAGTTGTTAGCAAAACAAACGCGTGCACGTCAATATACACCACCGTGTACACTGGATTCATGTAATTTAGATGAAACGACCCACATAAGGATTATACTTTATAAAACGGTTTGCCTTGTGTAGTATTGTACACGTTTGCCACGTCTGGTGTAAAACGCATCGGTCGTAAGTGACAATTATTATAATTGAATCCCAGTCCGCGTTGCTTACGTTTTAAACAATTTCCAATAAAGCTCACGCGGGAACAACACATTTTTTTTTTCACTGACCAAATGCAGCATAGTTAGCAAATTTGTGTCAAGACAGTTATTAAATCTGAAAGCGGTTTCACCGCAATCAAACGCTTCGATGCAAACACTTGTAACTAGTTGAATATGATGACCTCCTTCTTTAAAGACCATCTAATTTAAAAATATAAATAAAATTTGCAATGCAACTGTCTGTCGTTACAGTTAATTTTCATCTAAAATATAAAAAGAAAAAAAATCATTCGCGGTATATGTGACGTTATGAAATTGAAATGTTTCTCATTATTTATTATAAATGATTATTTCGCAAATAAGATATCATCATAGGGAGTGACTAGTATGATAACCGCGACATTAAAGATACCCGAAAAGATTTATTTTAATTTAAAACGAAAAGGATAGCATCTTCATAAAATAAACTCTGAATCCTCAACCAAATCCCTTGTTATTCTTATCAAGTAATGGTTATTGCATTAAAAACACTTTGGCGTGACTTTTGTTGAGCCACCGTGAAACTCATGTTGTATTTTTCCTGTTTATGTACTAAAACCCTTCTGCATATAAAAATGTTTAATATTAAAAAAACCAAAAGCTTTTCGGAGAGTAGATAACAGTACTTATTATTCAGTATTATTTATCAATTTCATATGGCTATCACTCTCCCCATTAGGTCTGCATCTTGTGAACGATCGTTTACTGCTTTAAGAAAAATATAGATTTGGCTTAGGGTTTCAATGAGACCGGACAGAATTACAGATTTGCCAATATTATAAATAGAAAAAGATATGACACATTTGCAGAACAAGCAAAGCGTATAACTCTTGTATAAAATACCTGTAAATTGTAATATTGCATACATTTTTATTATTTGATGTTATAAAACAAAAATTCTAATAAACTAAAGTGTTAAATTGATAAACAACATCCTTGCTCAAAAAAACATCATTCATTTACATTTAAATTTAAATACATAGAATATGCAGAGCCTAAGCACCCACTTATCCATCATATAAATATAAACGAGTGATTCCATCATATTAGTATCTATGGTCAAGAGCCATAAAATAATATGTGTATATAAGGTTAGATTAGGTTAGGTTGTTTTTCAGTCAAATATTTTAGTTTACTTCCACCTTTTCCAATTTATTTCATCTTGCTATAAAATTGTCCGATTTAATTTAAATTTTAAACTTTGCTCCACAATGCTTGTTAATAATATCATATTAATTTTCATTTTTCACTTATTTGTAGCTGCACCAAAGCAACTACCTTTTTGCACTTAACATCACCGTGCCATTTTGTGAGAGTTAACTTTTTTAATATGAAAAAACTACAATATTCTATACAAGCACTTGTGCATTTTATTTTACCTTTTGCATCCGTTGTGCTCTTAAGTATAATCTTAATGGCATGCTTAAGTATTACCGGAAGGAATAATCAAACTCTCCTTAATAAACACTAAATTTTAGTATTACAACTACAGGGTGATCCATTTAACAAAGACACTTATTTTCTTTAAGAATAATTCAAATTTTAGTTTTTTATACTTTCGAAAAGTTTTTTTAAATTGTTAAACATATTTTTACTAACAATTTCAACTGGTCGATAAATAGTTTAAAATAATTTTTTTTTTAATTTTTAATAACTTAAAATATAACTGTTCCAAAGAGGAATTTCTTTTGGAAATTATTTTTAATTAAACTTAAATGCAAATATGTAAACGAAATATAACGACTAAGTTCCAAAAAATGAATAGAACTCTTAAACTTACCAAAAATAAAAAAATGCAATATTGTTTAATAACATTAGGTAACTAAAATATCTCGAAAATTCTTTGAGAAAATATTGTAAAAAATTAGGTTAGGTTTTTATCATTTACTGCCACGATGAAATAGTTTAACATGCTTAATATGATATAATGCGATATATTATTGTCATATTATTAAACTATATAAACACTTAGTTATGGTTCAATATAAATTTTCATCCCAAAAAACAAAAATATAAAATACAACACACGACTCAATGCTAACGGGTAGGTAAATGAGTAAATGGAGGTAAGGAAAAACTACAAAATTGTAATTATTTTCAAAGACAACCAGTGTGTTTCGTTTAGTGGATAACCCTGTATACTGGATTATGCACTTGACGCCAGACGGTGTAAACTATATTTTACATCTACATTAAAATCGAGTCGAGGTATAAGAATCGCCTCGGCAACCGTTGTAAGTAACGTTAAATGTGTGTGATTGGTATGCATTAAATATGGTATAGATTTATGATTAGATTTTGCCATTTTCATATAAATGACATAACGACATAATGTTCATAATGAGTATTGTGTTTCGATGTATTCACATAATAATATTAATCAACAGAAAAAAGTTTAACTTATAGAACGTTACAAATTGCTCTAACAAATATTTGAGCATTATCAAAAAATTACTTTTTGCTTTATAATTTAAACGTTATAATATTCGAGTTACAATTATTGTGAACAGAAAACTAAATAAACAATTGTAAGAATTGTCACAGCAAAATAAATGATGAAAAACTTTTTTTAAAGAAATCTGCTCATATTTCAATATTACTCACATGATGAAATTATCAAGTGGTGATAACCAAAAGTATATAAGTGATTTTTATAAAATTTTATAATTCTATTTCCAATGTGTTTTTATAAAATATTTCATTATATTGTACTTGATATTTGTATGAAAAATTAATGACAAAATGTTAACGCTCCCTGCGCTCGCCCCTAAGTCCGCCTATGTTTAAGGTCAGTGCGAAAAAAGAAGTTTCGACTCAAAAATTGCTAAAAATTAACTGTTTGTTTAATATAATATAGATATCGGTGTGTACATAAATATAAAAACCCTTTGAATTAAGTATAATAAGGTTTACAGCGTATTGTGAAAAAAATCAAATTAACTTCGACCTGAATATTGACAGATTGGAAGACCTTTTTGCGCGCTCTTGTTAGTTTGTTTATGTGAAAATATTATAAAACAACGATGGAAAGCCAACGCTAAGAGTCTCTGCGGTGATGAGTTGACGTTTTCTCAATTAGCTACAGCCGACGGATGATTTATGACATCGAATAATGTATATATTTTTTGTTTTTTTTTTTTGTTTTCTTAAGCTCGAATTAAATATTATGTGCGCCGGCGGTTTCTGTCAAAAACGTCATACCTAGTGAGACCTACTTGCTATCTTTTTTTTCTAAAAAACTTGTTTTTCTTTTTATACAATATAGAAAAAATATACAAACATAATAACAATCGGTAACCATTCGGTTGGAAATAAACGGATTTCGACGAGGTGTAGAATTTTGCTGTAAAAGTATGTCAAACCCGGTAAAAGTTTGTGAACTTATTCCGACGAACAGAAACTTTGCTTGACGGCGTTGTATGGTTATTACCGGAGTACAGGTAAGCACTAACTTCGGTTGTAACGGTTGGGTAAAGTATAATTTATATTAACCTTATTTTCTTCACACCTAATATTAGAATATTTCATGCAAATAGTCATTGTAGTAACCTACTTAATATTATTATTATTATTATTATTATATTCTTATTATATTTATTTTAATTGTTGGCTATTTTACTAGATCCTGTTGGAAACGAATTTTTTAATTTTTTTTTAAACAAATTTCGTTTGATGTTGAAAAATGCTCAAAACATAATTTTTTATTTAATTACAAAAAAAAAACTGAATTTTTTCAATGAAAATCGGTTGTCAACACAAACCAATTATAATATTTCATTATTTATTTATTTAGAATTTGGTGTTTGATTTTATGCAACAAATTAAGTTTCTTAAAATATGGCATACCGGTGTAATTAAAATACTTTAATTTTGTATTCGTTAAAAAAGCTATTGAGAAAATAATATCATATTATCTAAATATATATTACACGTATAAATAACTATAATACTATTATAATTAGATACCGTTTAATCCCCCCCCAAAAAAAGTGGAAGCGTGTAAGTTCGCCAGCTTTTCCAATCGGTTTAAGTATACATAATGCATCACGTGTGTTGTTATTGGTGTTTACATCAATGGTGTAACATTACTAAACCTGTTAGTCGTTCATTTATTTATTATATTACTTTTATTTTGAACCCACGATATATCACCTTAACCACTGAACTGCCCACCGCGTGTAGCATGTGTATTGTCTATAGATCAGAAAACGTACTTTTTATAAAAACAATTAATAACCAAAAAAAAGGAGGGGAATTACACACTTTGAATGAGGTAAATTTCTAAATTGCCATGTGAGAATAAATCAATAGACAACAATTATCCGAAAACTATTTTTATTATATTGTGGACAACCCTTAACGTATCTACTCTGATACTTATTTACAGGTTTATCAATAAAGGCCGATTTTTAGTTTTGTCTAATAAAGTCATATTCTTATGTTGTTTTATAACTATCTTGATGCACACACGAGCAAATATCCAAATTGCAAGTGCTATATTATTTGTATGGAACATAATAGGTACACAAAGTGGGTCCATTATTTACCTTCCGCGAAATGTACAATAACCGTGTAATTTTCAAAAGTAAGTACTATAATACTTTAAAAGACAAATTTTCACTATGACAATTGAAACCGATGCGTATATTTCTTACACGACCGAGTTTTTACTGTTTTATTTATTTATGCTTTTTACCGAACCGAGTAAAGCAGTGCCATCTTATTCCCCCCCCCCCTGCGGAAAAATGGGGACATTTGTTGAAGTAAGTAATAAACTTATTGAATGATTGCCAAAATCCTGTATGGCGCACTATATATTGGAAAAATTTGCTTGCACAAATGCTCATTTAATATATGCAGTTTGAATGCAATAAATTTTGCAGGTTGAACCAAAAATAATGTAATGGATACACACATTTATTGTATTTGGTTATTCATTAGTTATAAAAAAATGTGTTCACGATTCGAGATAAGTTTAGAAATTGTTCGAATAATTTTTTATTTAAATAAAAATGTCAATAATAATCGAAATAAAAAGTGTTATTTACATAAAATTTAAAACAATAAAACCAAATAAATATTTATTTCAAATAACAGATTATTTTACAGCAAATACACATTTTATTTAATGCAGTTTGCCTTAACAATCATTAAATATCTACAACATACTAACAAAGCTACCAATATTAACAAAAGTCAAAATTAAATATAACTGCAATTATAGAAAATGTACCTACTCCATCACACATCACTTAATTTTTTTAATTATAACTTTAGCCAAAAACTGTTGGAAAATTATTTGTCAAAGCCAAGGTAATTTAAAATTCGTTAACCGTTAATCGATATTGAATAACTGCTATATATGACAGTAAATTCGGTTTTAGTATTTTATGTCATTTGTAATGAAATCTAACTATTGTCGGCACAATTTTGCCGACTTCATTATACCATTTAGAGGGTTCAAATATGTTTGCTAAATATACTTATCAACTACAGAACGTTTGTGCCGAATAACATCTTTTATTTGGATTTTTGATGTTATTATAGTAAGAGCAACGAATAGAAACTTAATAAACATTATTCAGAAGAGAAACGTCGAATTAAAATATGCCAGTCAGCTAAGAATATCAAATTGTTATTAAATATTATTATGCGAATCGAGCAGATTTTCAACATAATATAATATATATAATGAAAATTATAGGTACCATTTAATGTATTTTCATTAAATTATATATACATATATATATATATATATATATATATATATATATTAGTAACGCACTCGATATCCTGAAAAAGAGTACTTTGAACTACCGTTGGCAAAGATAAAATAAGTTATCGAATATTTTGTTAGAAATACAAATTTAATGGAGATTTAATTAAAAACAACGTCGTGTCGAGTATTTCGTGTGTTTACAATGTATACAAATAGTTAAAAGGATAAAATATATACAGTAATAACGACACCGGCGCTTGCTCAGAAACTTATTAATGAGTATTATGATAATCACCGTCGTCGCCATAGTCTTCTGTCTCGTTGGAGTTTTCCATTTAGACGGCTGCAGGCTATCGTAGGCCCGTATTTAATGTTGAAAACAATAATAATAAGTTTTCCTCTTTAAAGGGCTAAAAAAACACAGGCAGACACTGATATTTTCAACCAAATAACAACATCTGACTGACGGGAAAGGTCCAATTTGGTCAAAAACGAATCCGTTTGTACCGTACCCGTCTTGTCCTTTAGTATTTACTTATGACTTAATCATTTCAGTTGTTGTATGTAGTTTGTGATGCACAGTTAATGACTGTGTGCCGTATTAAGCGCTGGAAAATTAGAACGAACAAAGCTCAGAAAAAATGATAAAAGCCAAAGAAAGTTTAACCATCCAAAAGAGACGATCACGGAACATTAAACACACAATGCGAAATCGCGCCTAAGCCATAACAATGCAAATTGTACCTAATTCCACTTGTTATTAACCCATAAATATAGACTATAAATTATACCTACCATTTAGATCTAGCCAATTCACATGTCAATTCATAAGAATTTGTAGTAACATAAGAATAACGTTATGTTTAATCGACAAGCCAGCACTAAACAAAATATGAACGATACTAAAAATAGTTCAAACTTCAAGAGATCACGTCACGTTAATGAGATAGGTTTGATGTCGAGAAAAGATTAGTTGCAAATTTTCCTAGCTACAAAAGAAAAAGACACACGCATTCAGAGATCAGTAGTATTTTAATTACTTTAATTGAATTACTTATGTAATTTGTAACGTTCAAATTAAAAACATTTATCATTGTTCGTCGTTCTAGATTTGTTTCGCGTTTTACAAATATCAGGTATTTTTAGTTCATTACAGGCTTTACAGCTTTGACGAACATACTACATAATCTATTACAACAAAGTAACCATGATTAGATGTAGTTATTAATATAAATATAAATTTTGTTTTTAAAATTAAATAATAATTAAAAAAAAAAAAGGTCAATTATATTTATCTGTAAATATTTTATTTAGAAATATATTTTTTTTTAATTTGTTTAATAAATCATAAAATAATAATATAAGTGTTCAAAAATACGGTTTTTTTGCACCAATATTCAATATTTTATTGTTCTAATCACATTAGTACAATAATCTGATTTAATATTTAAATATCGTATAAAAAAAGTGCAATAAAAAGTCAAAAACTGCGTTTCGTAATAAAAAATATATATTTATGATTTGTATAAAAAATAATTAAATTAAATTAAAAAAACATCAACGGTCGTTGTCATACGAAATAAAAAATAATATTAATAATAAAATGATGTGCGAGTAAACGATTTAGAACAACACCAGTAACAAGTGGAGACAGTAAGCGACGGCACACGGATAAGTGATCAGGTGTTTCTGGTCGACGTTGCCGTACGTGGCGACAAATTCGGCGGACGCGTTCGAACCGGACCACAGGACGGCCGCCAAAACGACCAGCGCGCCGAAAACGTTGTCCAGGCGGACGAACACGGCGGCCAGGGCGACGAGCACGGACGGCGCGAACGAGTAGCCCAGCACGGTAAAAACGGCGGTCACGGTTACTCTGGACGAACCGGTCAAGGCCCACAGCAGGCCGTACACGCCGAGGGCCGTCAACACGGACAGGCCGTAAACGTGGCCGAACACGAACTTGCCGCGGGCTACGAACACCAGCGCCGTGTACGCCACGTACACGGCTACGGGCCCGACCGGATCAAAGTCGGCCAAAATCGCTTCGCGCTTACCGGTCGGGTCCAACGAGCGGAGCAAGCGCGCACAAATCTTGTCCACGTCGACGCCGAGCTCTTCCAACAAAGGCGGTTCTTCGGCGTCCGCGAAACCGTCGTTGTAATAATTATCATTGTCGACCGATTGTGCTTGTGCTTGTTCGCTCCGTATGGACAGAATTCCGTCGACATACGGTTCCAGTACCGGAACAACTTCGTCATGGTTCGTCGGAGTGACGTTCATAAACTCCAAATTGACCATTTCCAAAGTGATTTAAACGTGTAGAAATTTAAAAAAAAAACTCTTTGATCAATTAGTAATAACAATAATAATAGTAAATAGCGCTAAAGTTGGCGAAGGAAAAAGTTCACTGTACCTCTAAGTTTATGTCTTATTATTTACTTTAAACATCTAACGACAGCGGACAGCTGTTAACGGTGCCGATTGCCGGCCGCCGATTAGGTGATTACGCCATTTTTATCAGCCGTAACGCGCTCTGACAGTGTGACCAACGCCTGGAAAAAAAATACCAGATCTATATGGTTGGTCGGCTGACGCGATTTCAGTTGTACAACCAAATTTTAATACAAGACAGTAGATATCTGACCCTAGTCCAGACAAATTTTCTATTATTTTTTTGTCTAAATAATACTTGAAATAGTAAATTTTTTCCAAATAGTTATTTGTTAATGACTATTAAAATTCCCATATTTGATCATAGTGCCTTAGAGAATCGCAACAAGTAAAATATTATTAAAAGTAAGCGAAAAGAAGAGATGCAGCGTGACTAGAAGGACGACATTGGATTGTAAGTTTTTCGTAATTTGATTTAAACTAATTATCGCTTTTGAATCATAATTTATTATCGCGTTCACAGGATTGAGTTTTATTTAACTGACATATAAAGAACATTTATAAAAAACTAAATCATCGGTTAGAGTCTAGATAAAAGTATTATTTACTTTTTAACACCTATAACACCTAATGTAACCAAAGAAGCAAATATATATTTTAATAAAAGTCATTAAAAAGTTTTATAATTTCTTATATTTTTCATCATTCCATCTGTATCCTATTCAGTTAATGTTGCCCACATGTACTCAACAATTTGTTTTCATATATATTTTTTAATATTTTGTTAACATCGTAATTTATTATATTTTTTATTTAAATTTGAAAACATTCGCTATACGGAATATTTATAGTTTCTATTGTTTTAAGACTCGGATATTCATTGTAAAAACTAAAAAAAGCGTATTTCCACAACTTTGCACGGGTGTATATTTTTTCGTGTATTACGCTCATTGTTTAATTACTTTTGAAAACTTATTAAAAAGATACCTATTTTTATTTCTTGAGTAAATAATTGCTTGCCGTAATTAACGAGCTACAGTAAAACTATATATTTAAATTTTCAGCTGATAAACTAAAACGTATAAATTATTTTAACTTTAATGAAGTTTTCTCTACTGGGAGGTCTGCCCCTTAAGCGAACCACTGTTTGATTTTCTAGGTATTGTGAATAGAAATGTGAAAATATACTGGTTATGAAAAAAAAATCTGTACAGATTGTATAAGCATCAACGCTAAAATACAAAACGCTTTGAAAAATTAATCACATTTGTTTTATGAAGGCAATTTTTTTAATTTTCTATACAAATGACACAGAGATTTAAGTCCTGGTACAAAAAAAAACAAACAAACACCTAATTAAATGTAACCTCCGACCTTACCTCGTCACTATTCGTATATTACACGAACCCGGGCATTGTAGTTTAAAATAATTATACTTGAAACAAATTTCGATTGAATAAAAACTCAAATAATAATAATTACAATTTTCACCGACAAGTAAAAATATAGTGTTGTGTAATAATGTTACGATGGATTATTTATATGCGAAACGATAGTAAAAATGTACATCTTATAATATAATATTATACATTTTTTACATTTGGTAACATATTGGACGCGCTTTTGAAAGCGTCGTGAACACCTAAATTGTTGCCAAAAACGTTTCCTTTTTACGGCGAAAAACGTAGGTAGGTAGCTTTATTATTTATTCTCACGGGGGAACCGAATAAAACGGCCAATACCGCAAAAACACAAGTTGCCGCTTGTTAGCAACAAAAATGAAATCACATTAAAATATATTATAATGTTTGTCGGTTCGTTACATTTGCACGGCGCAGAAAGCGTTCAGTGAAGGAATGAAAATGTGTTCAATCATTAGTGCGTTGTGCGGCCAACCGGTGTGTAAAATCAAAAATTGAATGCACTTTTTTCGAGCCAATTTAGTGTGAATTTTTTTGCCAGAAAATATCCATCGAGCTATTTTATATCCGCCAAAGATATAAAAAAACTTATTTATTTCTTAAAATAATCGCAAATTTGTAGTTTTTATTAAACAATATCGTTTCCAGAGCTCTATTAACTTTTACAATTTTAACGCTTAAGTACATAAATGTACTAAAGTACATGCTAAAGTACATATTATCTAAAAAAAACTTTTTAAATTAAAGAATAATTTGCCGAAAATTATTATGACTGTTAACTTTACCCAGCTTTGATTTTTCGAATCATATTGATAAGGCGAAGCGGGTCGACCTAATCAATTATTGATACACTTGATAAATCGTTTTCCACATTCCTGTTGCCTGCCACTTTGTATTGAAGCTTTGCCTTCTTTACCAGACAAACTTGGCCCAATTCCATTATTCCAATTTTATTTAAAAAAAAAAAAAAGGTGGCTGGCTAGAGTTAAGACCGATCCGTCATTTTGTCATCGGTATTTTTTTTTTTTTTTTGGGCGTGGTCCCTAAAGCTCGGAAAGAAGATTTCATCGGTTTCGTTGCATTAATTTTGAGGGAGGTTGACACACATCTTATCTGTTGCCAATTTTTAGATCTACAACGATGTTGTCGTGAATAAAAAATTGAACAAATAATTTAATGAGATCCAAAAGGATGCAAGAAAGCGTTTCAATGGTTTTGATCATTTTATAATATTTATCAGCGATATTGAATTTAATTGTAAAAGTGAGTAACCCAAAATGTCTACAAATTTGCATAATAAAATATATTCTATCGGCCTTGGTTTTTTTATTTTTTTAATTACAACCTAACGACGTTTAACGATGTTGTTTATAGCAAAGTGTTCTAATGAAAACAACAACAACATGATCCCAAGTTTTGAATAATAATTTTTCAAGTTAAAAGCGTTTTAGGGTAATACGATAAGGGTGGCTATTTAAAACGTTTTCCCCTTGAACAATAAACTACCAACAACCCTTTAACTATTGTAGAAGAGGTGTTCTCGATTTTGTTTTTTCTCTTTGGCAACTATTATAAGCTCTCGTCTATTTTAATTATTTTCTTCGGTTGTCCAATACATTTTCTTTTCTACGCTACAACCTGATTGTTCAAGACAAGTTAGACAACTGTTTAGTTGTTGTTTATTTTTTTATATTTTTTCCACAACATTTAAGTGTTGTTGAGTCTTCTGTCCGTGAAAAAAAATTAAGTCGAGCTACTGTCGTAACAAATGAAATAGGCGACTACAGAAAAACCAATTTCCGTCGCGAACATTTACTTTCTTTTGACACTTTTTTACATTGCATTTTTCAAAATATTTCTTTTCCGAAGCTGTCGCTACCCGTGTTCCTAATGTATATAATTTCAAATTGTCGTGACGATAAAATTACTACAATTCTTATTCGAAAACAGGTCCATTTTAGTGGTTAAATATGTTTTTAATTTTGTATAGCAATTTATTTCAACTATTAAAACAAAATACATTTTTAAAGGTGATAATATATAAATAAAATCAAACTACTAAGCCATCCTCTAGGATAAATAAAACAATTATTTTAATGATAATCTCACGTTAGAATTGAGTATAGATGGTAGATCAAGAGGTACATTATGAGATTTCCAAGAAGTACACTAGGTTAGACGTTCATCAGATAGAGAAAGCTAAACAAATAGAGTATGAGAAAGATCACATACACTTTTGTTGATATACACAAAAAAAAGAGGTAGTGATAGCTGTTAACTGTTAAGTGATAGTTTGTACAAACGGAAATAAAGTAAAGAGTGGCCGATCAAGTTTTCCAACCAGGCATGTTTCGTTAATCTGAGCACTATCATTTTAAAACCAAATACAAAACTATAAAGTTTATAATTTTATGTCAAACAAAATGCCGGCTTGATGGCGTAAGAAATAAATAAAATGAAACAAATAAGTCTACGATGAGATGAAAATTGAAAAAGTAGTTTTTTTCCTTGAAGATAAAACATTTAACCATGAATATGTCTTAAAGTACAATATATAAAAACCTATAACAAGGTTGTGTTGTTCATTTCCTCCTCTCTCTCCCCTGATTTAGATAAAAGTGATTTGAATCTTGTCAAATCTTTCTCGAATCGGAGAAAGACGCAGTTGCGAAAAGGAAGCAGTTCATTTATAAAAAATGTTATCGTGGCCTTGTTTTCTCAGTTAGAAGCTAAATACCAGACCATAATATGTTGATGAATATTAACCGTTTAAGAATATTATTATCCAATATATTATGGACTGTGCAGTCGGTCTGACGCACAGAGTACCCGACGACTGATGTATTGTAATATTATTATATGTAATACGTTTTGGGAGCACGGTCGAGTAGAAAATTGTATAAAGACAAGTGTATATATCACTCGTTGTTGATCGAAGCCGTACAAAGCCGTATTAATTTCAAAGGGTTTTCTCGGCAGTGAGTTTAATTATTATTGCCAGACGAGCCATTTATATTTTATACGTACACATACGCGATTTATATTTGCGCAAACAAATCTTTTGCGTTTTGTAACGTCCATTGAGGAGAGTCTAATGGAAATCTATTAATCAGCCATGTGTGCTCCTCTGTAGGAATATAGGGAAGCGATTAATCAGCGGCAGCCGAGAGTGAGCCACTTGAAACCCACCGATCGGCCGTTGCCCGGAATGATAATAATAATAAGAATAATAATATACACACACAGAAATCCGACAACAGTAAAAGAGCGTTCACCCGTTATTTCGCCACAGCCTACCCTTGGCCGGACACTGACTGATACGCACAAAAGGAATCTAACACACAGCTGTATGTGTAGCCGGATGAATACGAATCCCGTGCATCTGATAAACAAGCGTCCTTTTACACAGAGCATAATACATATATTAAAGAGAGAAAGCAAAGGACGAGAGATGGAGGAAAAGAGAGTTATAAATAGTTGTTTATTGAGTTTTAAAAACGGATGAGTCGTCCACCCTTTTTGGGTGGGATGATGTGCATCGAAGCTGGAATAATAATTGAAAAAAATTGTTTAAATTTAAGTATTTTTAATAATCGTTTGCCATAAAGGCTTGTTATTATTGTGACAGTTATTAGCAGAGGTGGACTAGATAAAAACTGTCACAGAAATT